GGTGGGATTTTGAAATGCAGAGGGATTGGGGAGTTTGCCAGCTTTCTACACACACCCTTGAAATGTCAAATGTGTTCAGTTAAACTTGGCCTTAAAACTTTGAGGTAAGAATGTTAGCATTGCTTGTTTTCTCTTTCAGATTATCTGAGATGTCCGAGAGGAGAGACTGTACCAGCAGGACAAGTCACCAGAAGTTAATTATCTGGTGAATCAGTGGAAGGCTGCATGGATGCGATTATATTTTTCAGGGTATAGCAAGTAGCAGTTCACTGTAGCTGAAGCAGAATTTAAGGGGAAGTTGTGAGCTACACTGCTGGGAAAAGGTTCATGTCAGATGTGTTACCCAGAAGTGGAATTTTTAAAATTGCAGAAGTAATGTCCTCAGGCATACCTCAAAGGCGTTACTGCCGCAATAAAGTATCACAATAAAGTGAATCCTAAACTTTTTGCTGGTGGAAGGTTTTGCCTTCAATTTATAAAAACTGCAACATCTGTGAAGCACAATAAAGTGAGGCACAATAAAACCAGGTGTGTCTGCATTTTGTAAAAACTCAAGCAGTGTAGAACTACACACAGCAAAAATGAAGTAATTGTTTCCTGTCCTTCCGGCTTGTCTCCCTAGATTCAACGCTGGGGATGGTCAGATATAGGTCCTGCAGCTGGGCCTCCTGGCTGCCTAGAGGCAAAAATGAGTGAGTGAGTAAATGAGTGAATTACTGGATCAAAGGGGATGCAAGCTTCAAATTTTAATATTGCTATTAGTGTATACCAGTTTGACTTCCCTACCTTATCCATTTTTCTGTTCTTCCAGGTGACCATTTCCAGTCTTTTCTTTCAAATACAAATTCCTATGCTCACTTTCAGCAGATAACCACGTTTCATCATTTACTGAAAGTACTGCAGCAGTCATTAGGGAATTGCCACATATCCCCACCCCCCACCCACATTCTGCCCCCTTGGAACCATGGGAGAACTCTCCACAGTTCTGTCTGAAGCCATCCCTGCACTCACACACTGACCCCACTCCTTCTCCTTCACTGCAGGATAGAGTTCCAGAAAGTCCCTCCCTCTCTTACATTGTCAGAATTTCTCTCTGTAGTGGATTAAGGCCAGTAGCACCAACATATGTTATTTTTTTTTCATCTTGAAAAAAACTTCTTTACCCTTGTTCCCCAAACATCAATTCTCTTTAGTAAGAAATTGTGAGGGTTGCCTATATTTGTAAAAGTTGTCTGTGGTTGCTATTCCCAACGTGTCTCTTTGTACTTCTGATGCTCTTCACCCCGTCTTCACTCACCACAGAGCCAAAATTAGTGACCTCCACGTTGCTCAAGCCAGTGGGCGATTCTCAGCCCTTGGCCTGCCTGCCCCATCAGTGGCAGTTGACACAGAGAGTCATTCATTCTTTCTTGCCCTAGTTGGCTTCCAGGACATCATATTCCTAGTACCCCTCCTCTCTGAATGATAGTCAGCCCCTCCTCTCCTCCAGGGCTCAGTCCTGCTCGTTCTTTCTTCTGCATCTGTACTCAGCCTTGGGGAACTCTCGAAGGCTCCCTGCTTTGCATACCATCTATATGCTAATGACTCCTAAAGACTTGTCTTCAGCCCAGGTCACTCTTGAGCTCCTGATTCTCTGAATCTCAAGAACTGAAACATTTGATTTTCACTGTGTTCTTCAGTGTTAGAACTCTAGGAACTAAATATAGGAGTACAGTAAAGCACATTTTATAGCATCCACCAAGTTTTAGGCACGGGCTGAGATGGTTTCTAGGATCTATATAATGTACTTGAATGGAAGCAAAAGGCGGTGTTGCCTCCATTGAGACTATATATGTACTGGTAGCTGTTTTCACCATCTGTTTAATTTCTGGTGGGCACTGGCCTGTCTCTTCTGGCTCTGATCTCTGGTTACCAGATGTAGGAGCTGAGGAGAAGTGACCGCTGTTGTCACTGAAGTGTCAAATCATGGTGGCATGTCAGGACCACATGAAATCAGTAAACACAGAAAATCAAGCTTATGAGCTTCTGCTCACAGAGAAATTATTTTTAATTTACACATAATATGGCTTATTCCCACAGAAAGTTAAGCAGTATTTGCGGAAAGTTAACACTTGGAGTATGTAAAAGCCCAGGGCGGTTTTGAGTGTAGTATTGTGTCCAGTAGGAATGTGTAGCTAAGCTGTTGTGTTGACTTCAAACCATCCCATCGAAATGGCATTTTGGTTCTAGAGGAGACAAATTAAGGAAAGAAGAGCATTGTTTTCTATCAAATGCTTACTCTTTGCCATCCTTGAAGCTAAATGGGCATTGTTCCATTGAATTACTGCAACAGACATATTTGCCACAGTTTCTTTTGTTTTGACTTTATTTTGAGGTAACTGTAGATTCACATGTTGTGAGAACACAAACAAATTCTGTGTACCTTTGGCTCGGTTCCCTCCATGGTAACTTGTATAACTATAGTAGAGAATCACAACTGTGAATTGTAATTGATACAATCCATTGACCTTTTTCAGATTTCATCAGTGTTATTGGGTTGGCCAAAAATTCCTTTTGTTTTTCTGTTTGATGTTTCTAGGCAAGCTTAGTTGTCTTTGACTTTATTCAAAATAGCTTTGTTAGATCGTATTGTGACAGCAATCATGTCAGCGTGCATATGAAAAAAACTTACCAAATTGGTGAATTTTTGTCTAGCTATTTTAATATTGAAGATGCAAGAAAATACACATTTTCGGTGTATTAGGCTTTATTATTTCAAGAAAGGTAAAAATGCAACTGAATCGCAAAAAAAGATTCATACAATGAATGGAAAAGGTGCTGTGACTGATCAGATGTGTCAAAGTGGTTTGCGAAGTTTCTTGGTACTAATGAATTTTTGGCCAAATAATTCTTTGCTGTGGGGCTCTCTTTTGCATTGCAAGGTGTTTAGCAGCACCCCTGACCTCTACCCACTAGAAGCCAATAGCAGGGGGTGGTGACATACTCAAAATATCCAAATCAATAATTATTGGTGAAAATGAAAAATGTGTTTTACTTTATGGAAAAACACAAATGGGCTTCTTGGTCAACCCAGTACATGTACTTGTTTGTTCGTGCGTGTGTGTGTGTGTGTGTGTGTATTCTATGCGATTTTACCACATGCATAGATGCCATTTCTTTTTCAAATTCTAAGGGAAAGAAGGTTTAGATAAGTTATGTGGAGTGCCTAAAGTGTAGACCTGGGGTCTCTTTGATCCAAACTCTTTCTTCTTTAGTAACAGTAATGATGAATAACAATAGTGATCAATTGTAACATGGCTGAACTTGAGTTACATATAAAAGGTATTGAATACTTAGCATCTGTCAGAGTCTGTTCTAAGGTATTAACTCATTTAGTTCCCCAACAACTATACCTCAGAAATTATTTCACAGTTGAATTAGTAGCATTAGTTAAACTAATCATATATCAAGGAATAGGTAATTATTTTTATTATTCCTGAAATCAGTAATAAAATAGTGATATTCTACTTTCTTCTTTTTTATATAATTTTGTATTGTAACCTTGTATTGTAACGATTGTAATCAGTGTATTGTAAGTGCTGATTTTGGCAATGGTGAGTACTTTAAATGTGTATGTGTGTGATGTGTGTGCCTATATATAAATGAAGTGAGACCCGTATGCATTTTGTTATGTTGAGGAAACTTAACAGTATTTACTAAATTGCAAATAAGAGCTAGTTTATAAAGGATGCCAGAGTCTTAAGGGAATAAATGTAAACCACTAAGAATACTTAAGAATATAATTTTTTTCTACCATTTTTAGATCTTTTTGACCAAATACAGCCCTAGGAATGTTTGAATTTAATCAAGCCTCTCAGGTTAAATGATCTAACTTTCAAAGTGGGCCTTAATACATTTGGTTGTGAATTGTCACTGATTATCAGAATATTTAATGCTTTAGGAAGATAATGGATAAACTAATCAGCACCAGTCCATAATTAACTCTCCAGTCTTTGCTGTTGACTATCTTGCAAAGCTGTCCCTGTGGTTTGAACAGCGGCACTTATTCAGACCAGAAATAACAACAGTCCCGTGTGTTGTAGGTCCCAGGAGGTCTTGGTGTTTTTGTAGACAGCAGACAGAAATAAAAGGAATTTTGTCCTTTTTACCTCATGGAATCCCACTGGAAACTGAAACATGTGCTGTGAGTTGATACTGACTTCTGCCAGGTCACCTCCCTGAAGAGTCCCAGGCAGGCACTGTTGCAGCATTGCTTGGACAGGAGTCTGACAGCCCCTGAGCGAGATGGATGGTTGTGCAGTGTGCTACTGTGGAACACTGCACTACTGTCTTCTCCTAGGAAGCTGCTAGTGGGGAGTGTCATGGCTCCCGCATCTGTTACCTTAACTCTTTCAGAACGTGTCAGAGCCCCCCAGATTAGAGGCAAATTTAAACTAAGTTCTATGTAATTGCTGTTTTTTATTTAAAAAAATAGGAGACTGCAATAATGAAGCACAAATCATGGTTTATTCTGTCTTACTTTTAAGAACTTGATTTTGGATATTAGATAGTGCAGTTTTTTGAAGCTATATAAGGAACGATTTGAAAACCACAGAACCTTTTTAGTGGACCACTCTGTCAATTTTCTACTCTTCTAAGGAAGTTTTTCCTATTCATGACTCATTTCACTCTTTGGCTAACATTGAGGGAATGTAATAACAATTAAGGAAAGGAATGTATGCCTTTTCTTCTTTTATTGAAAGCTCGTACACATTTTCTGTCTTGGGTTATGTAAACTTGGAGGACTGCAGAATGTTGACAACTGTGAAAGTTAAAAACCAGCCCGTTAATACATACTTATTTGGAATTGAAAAATCAAAATGCTTTTGCTTCTTTGGAGAATGGTTCAGAATACTAACCCAGTAAAGAAGACATGTTCCAGCCGTCACTTACACACACCTTAAGTGAAATGAATGAGATCACTCTAAGATTACACTTTGTGTTTTATTTTCATTTTATAGGTCTGTATGAGCTGTTGGCTGCTCTGCCAGCCCAGCTGCAGCCACACGTGGATAGCCAGGAAGACCTAACCTTCCTCTGGGATGTGTTTGCTGAAAAAAGCCTGCATTCACTGGTAAAGGTAAACCATGCTGATGTCAGATTCTCTTTGCGGAAAAACATATGGAAAAATATTTTGAGCGCCATCTAGTAAACCAGAGATCAATTTGTTGCTCTCTGAAAACAAAACAGCCTTGTTCCATTTCACTGACGGGCGTGGAAGTTGTTAAAGATTCTACCAAAAATACATAGATGATTTCACTTAATGGTGGTGATTTGGCCATGCATACTAATGCAGCAAACATGTGGTTGCCCTTGTTTAGAAAAAGAATATGAAATAGTAGCAGGAAGGTTTAGACTCCTTATGGTCAACATTCATGAGCTGGAATTTAACTTAAATAAATAAATGTTCATAGCAAAAATTAGAAGGAATATATTTTCTGAGGTTAAGGATGGCAGCAGTTCAGTAGCCACATTAATTTAAAATAATTTCCTTTAACAAAGTCAACTGAAATTCTAGCAAGCTATTTCTTTTCTTGGCACAACGCCACTGAAGTGGTATTTTGTGTATAAATACACTGTAGCTAAATGCGAATGAAAACAGTGTTTTGAGACAGTTTTAGTAAAGCATCATGTCATGAAAATGATCAGTCACCAGAATTCAGATCTTGCCACACAGCAATCCTGGGAGTGATCAAAATTCTTAAAATAGTAAAATGAGAACAAGAAACTTACTGGAAAATATGCCACCCTTGCCTCTGGAAATATGAATTGCAGCTTCTCTCATTTAATTCAAACTGAAAGAAATTTAGTCTTACTTGGGTCTGTGGCAGCTAGAAACTTAGGATGCCTCCATCATATCCGGACCTGTGCTTAATTCCACTAAATCTGTTATGGTTGTCGGTCCTGATAAGACGCTTTTAATTGATGTGTGGAGTATTTGAAAACAAGCAACTTCTGAGTTGCATTTGCTTCACAGGACAGGAGCATTACTACATTTTTTCTTGTCAGATTTGTTAGAGTTTGTGTGCCTCGAGGAGTGGCAACTCTCAAGAAGTAAAAGTGTTGATATGTGGCATTTTTCTAGCACTATACTTAAAGATGAGAATGTTTTATTTATTTATTTATTTTCTATATAATTACCAAGGTATTGTGTTCTGAATAAATTTAGATAGTTGGTTTCTTGGGATTTGTTACAAATAGTCTTGGAATTATAGTAGATAAAGTTTATGACTTATTGAGGCAACCATGAAAATATCCCTTTGTTGAATGTGTGGAAGTTGGATGGGTATGGATTTGTTTTAATTGATTTGATCTTTGATAGAAGGAATAAAGCATATTTCAAGTGCCATTATCACCCCTTTATCATGAAATAATCCTGCCCCGCACAGTGGATGCACGTGTGTTTGTATATTTATAATGTGGCTGGTATATCAGTTTCCTTATGTATAAAATAGTAATTACAGTATCTGTAGACAAGGTTGTGTGAGTTTCACATAAAATAGTGAAAATCTTAGTTCTTTGATAGTTATATAGGTTCGGCAAATAGAAGTAGGCATTATTAAGTATGAAGGAAAAGTTAAAATTTAACTATCATAGCATTCAAAAGACCAAAACAATTGACGGAGGTGGTTGTCTATTAAAAAATTGAAATAATGTGTAAAAACGATTCTTAGTTACACTGGTTGTTGTGTTTAAAGCATAGGTTTTTAAAGTGTTTGTCAAGAAGTGGTTGGGACGTGTACTCAAGAATAATTGATACCTGGTTTTATGAAAACAGGGAGGCAAATAAATTGATGTTGCCAGTATTTAAGTAGCACGGTAATGTGTACTATTCCAGATGTTTTTCAGTAACTGCTTTCAAATGTATTTTTAAAATTACTTTTCTATGTGCCTTTTGTACATTCTCAGTTCTGAGTAGTTTCCCTCACATCCACCTTTTATCACGTTCAGACTCAGAGTGTCCTTTGCCTCTGACCCATTCTATTCGTTTTCAAGGACGTGCGGCTTGAAATGCCTTCCAGAGTCAGGCTCAAGGGGTTGTAGTTCAAACAGCTGGAATAAACTGCTTAACTCTATTCTGGGCACCTCTCCTGGAGTATGGAGGATAGATCTTCGGCTTTTGTACGTAAACCTTGGTAGAGTAACAGGAATTTGTTTGAAAAGATTTGTTTTAGTCTGAATCAAATCATTCTTGGATGTTACGTTCTTTTGTCTGCAGTTGAAGCTGTTGGTATGTGATTAAGAACTGGCTCAACACAAAAGTGATTTAATTCTAGCACAAAATCTTCACAGTTGTCATTTTATGTTAAAAAAAGTAGTTGTTAAATCATCACACAGTTTTAAATACATATATCTTTATAGTCTAATGTAAAACATACTGAAGAAGAGGCAGTTTTGGCATTCCAATCAGGGGCAGGTACGGCATGCCACTTTGGAGGTTGAGCCACATTCTGACAGGAGTACCTGTGGGTAATAGGCTTGGTAACTACAAAGGAAATATGATGATCCTACAATGTATTAGGTATGGATTTTTTTAGAAGAAATTTCTAAATAGAAAACTTGAATAATAAAAACTGTGAGCACGATATTTTATTTTAAAAAAGATTTTATTTATTTATTTTGGAGAGAGGGGAAGGGAGGAGGAAAGAGAGGGAGAGAAACATCAATGCATGGTTGCCTCTCATGTGTGCCCCCTACTGGAGACATGGTTCGCACCCCAGGCATGTGCCCTAGACTGGGAATTGAACCGGTGACCCTTTGGTTTGCAGGCTTGCACTCAGTCCACCACACCAGCCAGGGTGTGAGCATGATATTTTAGAAGTATTAAAAGAAAGATGATACTGATAGAAGCCCTGGGAAGTATACTTGTATATAAGAATGGAAATACATAGAAGGTGTGGCAAGACAAGGATGTTAGCATTCACATGATCTGGTGAATGCGACAAATCATTAATAAGCATTGAGCCACTTTGTTTCGCAGAGTTTTTTTGTTTGATGTAGTACCATTTGTTAATTTTTTCATTAGTTACCCTTGCTCTTGGAGTCAGGTCCAACAAATCAGCACCATGATCTATGTTAAGGAGCTTACCACCTATGTTTCCTTCTATGCATTTTATGGTTTCAGGTCTTACATTCAAGTCTTTAATCTGTTTTGAGTTAATTTTTGCCTATGGTTTAACATATTGGACCAGCTTTATTCTTTTGCATGTGGCTGTCTAGTTTTCTCATCACAATTTTTAAAGACTGTCCTTTTCCCATGGAATATTTTTGCATCCTTTGTCATAAATTAATTGGCTATATATGTATGGGTTTATTTCTGGGCTCTCTGTTCTGTTCCATTGATCTATGTGTCTTTATGCCAATAAAATAATCTTTTGATTTTTATAGCTTTGTAATATAGCTTGAAATCAGAGAGTATGATGCCTCTAGCTTTGTTTTTTTTGTTTGTTTTTTCAAGATTACTTTGGCTAGTCAAGATCTTTTGTGGTTCAATACAAGTTTTGGGTTGGTTCTATTTGTGAAAAATACCATTGGAGTTTTGATAGCAATTGCATTGAATTTGTAAAGATGAAGTTTTAAATCTAAAAGGATTTGTTTGAAACTAAGCATCCCCATGTTCATTGCATCACCAAGATATGAAAGCAGCTCAAGTGTCCATCAGTAGATGAGTGGATAAAACAACTATGAGGCATTTATACAATGGAACACTACTTGGCTGTAAAAAAAGAAGAAAATTTTACTCTTTGCAACAGTTTGGATAGACCTGGTGAAAATATGCTAAGTAATATAAGCCAGTGAAAGAAAGACAAATACTATATGATTTTACTCATATGTGGAATCTAATGAACAAACTGAACTAACAGGGAAAATGGGGTCAGACTCAGTTGGAGAGCAGGATGACAGCTAGTGCAGGACAAGGGAGGTCAGGGGGTGGAGGGACTGAGCAGAAAGGAAAAAGGACTCATGGATGTGGACAACAGTGTGGTGATTGCTGGGGGTAGGGAGGTATAAGGGTATTAAATGGTAATGAAACATACGCAGTAGAGATTAAATTAAAAAATAAAATTTGCATATCCCAGCATTTCAAAAAAATAAATAACCAAAGTGACTGTTTCATTTCCATTGCCAATGACTGGGAGTTCCTGTTGCCATGCACTTTTGTCAGCCTTGGGCACAGTCGGTGTTTTGCATTTTCTCCATTCTAATAGGTGTGTAATGTTGTCTCATTTTGTTTTAATTTGCAACTCTCTTTTGACACATGATATTAAGCCTCTTTTCATATGGTTGTTTATCATCTGTATATCTTCTTTGTTGACGTGCCTATTCAGATTCTTCTCCCATTTTTTAATTTAGTTTTTTCCTCTTGTTGAGTTTTAACTATTCTTTGTCATTTTTGGATAAAATTAGTTAAACAGATAGGTGTTTGGTAAATATTTTCTCCCAATCTCTGGTTTGTCTTTTTATTCTCTTAATTGTGTCTTTCAGAGAGCAGAAATTTTAATGTCAATGAAGTCCAACTTATTGTTTTTGTAGACTGTGCTTTTGGTAGTGTGTCTAAAATCTCATTGTCTTACAGAAAGCCACCTAGATTTTTCTCCTGTGATCTTGTAGAAGCTTTTTAGTTTTGTATTTATATTTAGTTCTGTAAAAGGTTTAAGTTCTGTGCCTTGAGTCAAGACTTTGCTTATGAATATCTAGACGTCCTAGTATCAGACAGTGAAAAGACCATTCGTTCTCCATTGACCTGCCTTTTCTCCTGTCAAAGATTAGGCGACTTTATTTGTGTGGGGTGTGTTTTTAGGCTATTATGTTCCACTGATGTGTTTGTTTCTTCACCAGTGCTATACTGTCTATATTACTGTAGCTTTATAGTGAGTTATGAAGTTGGGAAATGTCCACTCTCCAACTTTGTTCTTCTCAGTATTGTGTCAGCTATTCCATGTCTGTTCTGTGCCAGCTATTCTGTGCCTTTTTATAGAAACTTTAGTATCAGTTTGTTATATCTACAAAATAGCTTGCTGGAATTTTGATTAGGAGCACGTTGAATTTATAGATTAGGCTGGGAAGAATTGATATCTG